ATACATCCAACTACTTCCCTCTTATCAACAATTAGGTCATTCTAGAATCTCTCCTTTTCTTTCACTCCCTCCATCCCCCCTTCTCATTAGTCAGAGCTTAAGCTCTCAGCCTAAAAACAGCTCTTCAAGAGGCTTTCGTGACAACAGGGAGAAAGTTGGCTCTTGCCTACAAGACAAAATAAATCTCAGAGCAGCAGAGAAGGAAGTGATGTGTGATCTGTTCTTTCCCTCTTCCCAGGCTTTCTCCCCTCCCTCCTACCTAATCTCTGCTACTGGCTTCTCCAGACTAGAATCAGAAAAAGATGACATAATAGCAAAGGTGATGGGATTTTTTGTTGTTGTCATTTTTGGATTTCATTGTTACCTGACCAGTGCTAAGGACTGATGTACTCTTGGTATTCTCAGTGGGAAGCGTATAATTGCTAGCTCTCTCATTCAGCACACACTATTGGACTGAACTTTCCAAAACAAAATCAGAACACACCATCTGACGGCTGCAAGCCACCAAGCAGGCAGCAAGGCCTTGATTAAATGGGACTGGGTCCCTGGGGATGCTTTACTCAGTAGCCTTAGCCCCGCCCTAGACTCTGTGCACAAGCTGTTCTTGCCCCTGCCTTCTCTGCCCGGCACTGGTTGGAGTCTCTCTTTCCACGTCTCTGTCCGCTCTCAGTCTAAGGCTCCTACATGATCCCACAAGGAGCAAAGGGTCATGAGGTCTCAGGGCCTTTTTTTCCCGTCTGAATCACAGCTTTCCCAAGTGAACCTTGATTTTTAACTATCTCCATTCTGCAGATGTCATCAGACTATTTCAACCTTTAGAAACTTGCGGTGCAGAGAGTGGTTAAAGGGCCAGCACAATGACATCACCAGGAAGCAGGTCAGGAATGCCAGAACTCAGGCCCCAGCCCAGAACAACTGAATCAGAATCTGCATATCAACAAGGTCCCCAGTGGCTCACACACAGGAGGGATGTTTTAGAAACACTCTTTACAACCACAGCTTGTCCGTGTGGGTGATGAGATAGCGAAACCTTTGCTTTCTGATGATGATTCAATACCTGCAAACTTTATTCCATGCATAAAATTGTTTCAAAATATTATATAAAATTGCCTTCATGCTGTGTGTTTTAAGGTATATATAAAACATAACTGAATTATATGTTTAGACTCAGGTCCTATCCCCAAAGTATCACATTGTGTATGCAAATATTCCAAAATCTGAAACACTTCTAGCCCCAGGGATTTCAAATGGGGGATCCTCAGACTATGTGTCATCTAGGGTAGAAAATAAGAGGACTTTATAAAAAATGCCTTATAAAACGTTGGTCTCAGTTTCTGCTTTCTATTTCCTAGTTTCTAAGTCAAGAGGCTCTTCCAAGTGACTCATAAATCTATTCCAGATCAAGAAGGGTAAATAAAATGTTCTATGACTCAATATCCATGTTTGCCAAAACCTCTCCGAATTGCTCTGAGAAAGGCAGAGAATGGCTCTTACATAATTACTCTATGGCTACGAAGTGCATCTGGATCACCGTGCTAGACAGACATTCCTACAGCTTATCTCATCTGGCTAGGAGAGAAGTGATAAGGAATGGGGAATAAGATGTGGGCGATTATGAATATGAAACTTAAAATATTTTCCTTTATCACCATCTACTGTCTCCCCACAGATCATGTACTTTTATATTATCTTCAACCCTCCTGTTCACGTAGTGCATGTCCAAAATGCTCAATGTCAACTTTATGAAAACAGGGATCCCCACTTAGAATCCTAACAAGCACCCTCAGGATGGAATGAGTCTGGGAGGGGAGATGATTTATACAAGGAACACATAACCGTTGTGGAGGATGGGATCCTAAGATAGTGCAGTTACCCAGGCAGTAGCAGTTCAGCTGTTAACTACCTGTGGACTCAAAGAGATGAGATGCTGCAAACAGAAGGAGAGGGTCTCACAGGAACCTCCTTAGGAGGAGAAGTATCCTTCAGTGAGCTGACACAGCCTACTCCAGGTGTCCCAGCAGGAAGAGAACACTTAGAATCCTGACAAGAGCACTCAGTATGGAATGAGTCTGGGGGAGGGGGGTGATTTATAAAAGGACCATTTACCATTTGGGAAATAAACACTCTACCATCACTTTTGCCTTCCGTCAACCTTCTGCAGGTGCTGCCTATTGACAACACCTAACAGGTAGCCGGAGGACATAGGAACCTGCTAGAGTAGTCTATGTTGTAAGCCTCCCACTGCACAGGGCAGCGGGGAGAAGGGAAAGTGGAATTACACAGGGAATGCAAGATGCTCTTCATGTGATCTTTCTACTGGCTCCTTTGGAAGAGGGAAGTAGGTGGTCCAGGGCTAAGTCTCATAATGCAGTCAGGGCTCAGGCTACCCAAGTTCAACTCAATATCCACAACCTGCTGGCCAAATCTCTGCAAGATTTAACTTCTTTATGCCTCAGTTTTTTCATCTGTAAAATAGAATTAGTAGGGTCTAGGGTAATTTCAAAGTTGGACACAATACTGTGTGTTAAGTGCTTAGAATAGTTCCTAGCATATTAACACTCAATAGATAGTTGATTGGTTTTTGTTATATTTTCTTACATTTTCCCTCATAGTAAATACTTGTTTATAAATCGAATTTTATTTGCTTATTATTAACGTCTTTTAGTTATTACATAGGTTCTATATAATTACCATTTTCCTATGTACTTTTGAATTTATTTTCCTTTGCTTTATAATTTCACAAAATGGTCTCATATTGTACCTATTATTTAGTTATCCACTTTTATTACCACATGATGGAAACCTATGTCGTTCAACATTTTTTAAAAATCATTTTTAATGGTCATGTTATTATTTTGTCATTTGGAGATATAGTAATTTACTTAACAAATCTCCTTGCTATCTAGGTTTTCTTTCTTCCTGTTTTTTTCTTTTTCTCTTTTTTTTGAGACAGAGTCTCACTCACTCTTTTGCTTCCAGCTAGAGTGCTGTGGCATCAGCCATGCTCACAGCGACCTCAAACTCTTGGATCAAGCCATCCTCCTGCCTCAGCCTTCAAAGTAGCTGGGACTACAGACATAGTTGTAGTCCCGGGTGCCACCATACCTGGCTAATTTTTTGCATTTTAGAGAGATAGAGAGTTTGCTGGTCTCAAACTCCTGAGTGCAAGCAATCCTCCCACCTTGGCCTCCTAGATTGCCAGGATTACAGAGTGAGCCACCGAGCCCTGCCTATCTAGGTTATTTTCATTGTTTTTTCAATGAGCTCTACATCCGTGGTAACTTCATTAGAATAAAGTCCTAGAAATAAAACTTCCAGGTCTAATGTAGACATACCTTTAAGCTGTTTTTGGTCTAATTAAAATTTTATTCTTCATTTCAACATTATTTTAAAGGCTCCAGCATATTACACAAAGAAATTTAAGGTAATTGCCTCTCAGCCTTTTGGCTAAGATCAAGTGTAGAAGTTTAGGTTAAAATAAGCATTAATTTCTCTGGAGACAGCTAGACTCCTTCAAGATGACATGAAAGTGTGGATATGCAAGACTGAAATTACTCCATCCACTATGTACCTCTTTTAGGGAAATTTAAAGTGATATGTCAATAAGACAACAATGGAATTGTAGCTTTTAAAATATTAATTTCCTTACCAAAGAGTCATGTCCTATAATTGACCCTATCATCTGTTAGGTCAATAAACTCAGGTAAATGATAAGCACAGCTACTGCCTTGACCTCAGTAGACCTTTCCTAGATCCCAGGATGGTCCAGGCAAATCTGGTCACCAGGAAAACACTCTACCCTCTAGCTTCTACTAGACCTTCCCTGTATTCCAAACCAGAAAAAAAGATAATATTCTTTCTAAGTGAAGACAAAAGAAGAGAGCTAACATTTGTTAGGTATTTCCTAGGATCTTCTTCCTAGGTTCTTCCCATCCAGTATTTCAATAACCCCATGCACACATGCAATACAATTCTTCACACTGCTCCTTTCTTTACTCAAAAAAAAAAAGGGAGGGGAGGGACTTATGTCTTCCTAATTCATTTTAGGTGATTCCCTGGCACAACCAAGTATCAGTGATAGAAGTTAGAATTTTAAAAAAGCAGTTACCTGCTTTCATTTGGCTTCCAGGAAAAAAATAGCATTTACAGTAAATCGAGACTAACACTTGGCACGCTGCAAAACTTCATTATACAATTGGTTAAACACAATATTCTAAATTTGCAGCTTTCAAACTCAAAAATATCATCTTATGACAAACAAATTCGGCCTTTTTTATAGGACTCTTCATATAACTTCATAAAATTCTTGCCCTGAACAATGTCTGACACTGATCTTGATACTTGTTACAAAGTCTGATGTAACATAATGATAACATCTCAAGAGAGATACCTAGGAGACCATCCCAATGCCCATCTTCAGATTTTACCATCAGGGCACTGATCACCATAATCATGCCTTACTTCTAGAGTTTTTCCCCCAAATCTCCCCTTCTGGATTAGAGCTCTCCATCCTAATATTTAGTCATTCAGCTAAATTTTTCCCCGCAATCTTGACTTGCATGTCCTCATATCTCTTTATGCTGCCTGATTCTTTTGGGGAAATATTAGACCTTCTTCTCCAATGATGTCTAGATGATTCATTTTGTTGGGAAGACAATACATGTGTTTTAAATTTATCTGGCAGGAGTCCATAGTGGCTCAGGTTGTAATCTCAGCTCTTTGGGAGGCTGAGGTAGGAGGATTGCTTGAGGCCAGGGAGTTCCAGATAAGCCCGAAAAACATAGAAAGAACCCTGTATCCACAAAAAACAAAACAAAACAAAACAAAAAAAACCCACTTTTAAAATTAGCCAGGCATGGTGGCATGCACCTATAGTCCTAGCTTCTCCAGAAGGTGAGGTGGGAAGGTTACATGAGCCCAGGAGTTCAATATTAGGATTTTACAGTGGGCTATGATCACACCATTGCACTCCAGCCTGGGCAGCAGAGCAAGACCCTGTCTCCAAAAACTAAATAAATAATTATATGGTAGTGCTACTGGCTCACATTTCTAGCACTGCCATGAATGAGACTTCTTCTGAGTCCCACTCTCACTTGTGTTTTCTCCTGAGTGGTGCTGGCCTTGGTTGAAGTTGTGATTCTTTATAACTAATCAATAAACAGCTTGTTCGAGATGGAATCTCTCCTGCTTCACTTGAATCTAGACACAGAAGGAGGAAGGTGCATTGGCTCTGCTGGCACAGCGGTGGCTTACCTCCGGCCAACTCCACCTCTGAAATCTCTTTAACCCTTTGAGAAGGAGATGGACAGTCCCTGGTTTTGTGAGGTTGGTTTACGTGAGCTGTTGTTATCCACACAGCCGCAGACAGGCACTAGAGAGGAAGCCTCAAATGTCTGGGCGGAAAGCTGAGCCTTATCTGTGACCACATCAACTCCCACGATTACTCTTGCTTTCACTTACAGCTTACAGCCTAATCCTGCAGGGCGAAACCATTCACTTTCTCCTGTAAACTCCTGTGTACAGCAACAGCCGCTTGCAGTTTAGCCAAGAGTCTAAGATCTTTTTACCCTTGCTGCGACTTCCAAAAGAATTTTTTATTTCCTCAGGTCCTTCTGGCCTGAGGCAGTAGTGAAGACTGGATCCCCAGACTGGATCCCCAGGCAGCAGCACCCTGAGCTCACAAACCAGCCCTGACCCTTAAGGATTTGAACACTTGAGAACCGTGATGCCAACGCTGCCGCGAGGGACAGAGGAGAGTCGGGGTTGAACCCCAAGCCGAGCTGAGGGCCCGCACTCCTCTAATTTCCTGGACCTACCCCCACTTGAAGAAATGAGTGGTGGATTGGCTTCAAGTAAGAGCACAGTATATGTATCCAACTTGCCCTTTTCCCTGACAAACAATGACTTATACAGGATATTTTCCAAGTACGGCAAAGTTGTAAAGGTTACTATAATGAAAGATAAAGATACGAGGAAGAGTAAAGGAGTTGCATTTATTTTATTTTTGGATAAAGACTCTGCACAAAACTGTACGAGGGCAATAAACAACACACAGTTATTTGGTCGAAAGATGAAAGCAAGCATTGCTATTGACAATGGAAGAGCCGCTGAGTTCATCCAAAGGCGAAACTACTTTGATAAATCTAAGTGTTACGAATGTGGGGAAAGTGGACATTTAAGTTATGCCTGTCCTAAAAATATGCTTGGAGAACGTGAACCTCCAAAGAAGAAAGAAAAAAAGAAAAAAAAGAAAATTCCTGAACCAGAGAAAGAGATTGCAGAAGTAGGAGAAAGTGAAGATGAAGAGGAAGATCCCGCTCTGGACAGCCTCAGTCAGGCCATCGCATCCCTGCAAGCCAAAATTGAAGAAGAACAAAGAAAATGGAAACCCAGTTCTGGGGTCCCCTCAACATCAGATGATTCAGGACGCCCAAGGATAAAGAAAAGCAACTACTTCAGTGATGAGGAAGAACTGAGTGATTAAAATGTTATTTTTTATGTAAATATAATTAAACTTTTAAAAGTCTTGGAGCACAAAGTTCAGCTGGGAACTAAAGATGACTTTTAGAAATTCAGCATATGAATACTTAATGCCAAATAGTTTTCTACTATAAAATAGTTAATAAGAAATTGAAACCATTTTAAAGTATCATGTTCCTATCTGGCTTTAGCACACTCATAAAAATCAAAGTTTGCTAGTAACCTTGAAAAGAGCTCATTTTAATAAAAATAAGGAAACTTAATAGTATCATAGTAATGCTATTGTCATCCCAAGAAAAAAGATAGTTATTAAAAGGAGTTGAGAAGTCCATTAGAAAAAGCTTCATTTGTGTCTGACTAGTTTACATGAGGACTTCTGAAATAAATTTAATCTTTAAAACAAAATGTCACAAAGACTGAAAAGTTGAATGCTTTATTGTTAATAGTATTAACAAGAGAATTTTGTATTTAAATATAGTGTCATCTTATTTCTTGTAGCTTTTATCTCAATCTGGATAAGTTGTAAATATCCATAAAATAAAAAGTACAGTAGCTCTAAAGGCTTGTAATCAAACACAACAGTTATTTGTCTGCTTTGCCTACAGTACCAAATCCCATTCCCTAGAAGCAACCACTTATAACTGCTTTAGCTGTTTCTTTCCATATGTCCAAATATTGCTAAATAAAATACATATACTTAAGGATTTGAACACTTTACCAAACCGCCATCTAGAAAGTGACAATTTGATCTTCCAGCAGAAGTCATCTAAATATTGCACAAGGACTGGGTACACTCTTGGCTTTATTTAGTATTTGGGGAAGGTTTTTTTCTTTTTAATTATTATTCTTTACCCAAAAGCAAGACTAATTCCTAGTAATGAATCTGCAGGTCCAGATTTGTGGGTGGTAACCTGAGGAAATTACACAGCCACTGAGGTCTTATGGTGTGGGGATGTGGGCTTAGCCTTCGGAGCTAGACAGACTAGTTTGAATCCTGGTCAGACATAAGTTGTGTCATCTTCACTCTGACGTATTCCTCTTTGAAGGACTGATCAATTATGTCTATGCCAAGGGCAGATGGATCATGATGAATGGCAATGGATTACCAAGTTAATCAGATGTCACTCCGACATAGCTAACTATTCCAGGTGTCTTTTTGCTGTTGGAGCAAATTGACATATTCCCTGACATGTAGTATGCAACTATTCATTTAATAAATATTATATTGTCTATTTGTATTAGTAAATATCTTGGAGTACATCTATGTGATTCCCTGTAGGTAACTATTCTCCTTTTAAATAACAGTGCCTGGCTTGTTCTGGGGCCCTAATAGAGACTAAAGTCTCACCCACGGGCACAAGTCCCAAGTTACCCATGAATGAAACGTGACCCATCAAATTATAAAGTCAAGTGTGCACAGCAGCACTCCATCAAGTGGAGGTGGTATACATGGAACTGGACTCATGTAGGCCCTGAAGGCATAAGTTGTATGAGCAAGATCTCCATGACCCCTGCTCCTACTACATTGCCTCTTCTCTCTCACCTGTATCTTTGGGGAGAGTTCTTGTGTGACTAGGTGACTGAGGAAGAGACTATTTGGGCTGGTTTATAGATGGTTCTGCAGGATATGTTGGCACCACTCAAAAGTGGCCAGTGCAGCCTGGTGTGGTGACTCACACCTGCAATCCTAACACTCTGGAAGGCTGAGGCAGGAGGATCACTTGCCCTCAGGAGTTCCAGACCAGTCCTAGCAAGAGTAAGATCCTGTCTCTACTTAAAACAAGAAAGCATTGTGTTGTGGAGGGGACCTATAGACCCACCTACTCAAGAGGCTTAGTAAGTCATGTAAGCCTAGGAGTTTGAGGTTGCTGTGAGCTATGATAATGCCACTGTATTCTAGTCTGGGCAACAGAGCAAGATTCTGTCTCAAAAAAAAAAAAAAAAGAAGAAGGGCAGTGCCTGTGCTCAGTGAGTAGGGCACCGGCCCCATATACTGAGGGTGGCAGGTTCAAACCCGGCCCCAGCCAAAACTGCAACAAAAAACAGCTGGGTGTTGGGGCAGGCACCTGTAGTCCCAGCTGCTCAGGAGGTTGAGGCAAGAGAATCACCTAAGCCCAGGAATTGGAAGTTGCTTGCTGCGAGCTGCAACACCCTGGTACTCTACCAAGGCGACATAATGAGATTGTCTCAAAAATACATAAATAAATAAATAAATAAGGCCAGTGCAGCGTTCCTGCTCCATTTCAGGATGTTTCTGAAGGACAGAGGTTATGGCAAGCTCTGCCATTGAAAAGAGCTTTGAATAGCTCACCTGGATATTCATTTTTCTCGAAAGGAGAAATGTCCAGAGTGACGGATCTACATTGATTTGTGGTTCCATTAACCTGGAAGCTGAAACTGCCACCTGGCCACCTTGAGCTCCTTCCTTAAGCCAAAGAACCAATAAGGAAAGAAGTCTGGGTGATTGACCTTGGCTATGAAGGGGAAACAGGGTTGCTATCACACAATGAGGGTGAAGAGGAGGATGTATGGATTGCAGGAGGTCTGCTGGGGTGCCTCTTAGAACTCCCATATCCTGTAATCAATGTTAAAACTAAAACAGTTCGATACACGGAGGACTCCTAATGTCATTGGCTCTTTAGAAATGAAAGTCTGGGTCACTCCACCAGATAAGGAATCATAACAAGTGTTTGCTGATGACAAATAAGACTATGGAATGGGTAGTGGAGGAAGGAAATTACTAATTACAACCTTGTGCCCTATCATAGAAATGAGGACTGTACCAGTTATGGGTATTTATTCTTTGATTTGATATGAATATATATGGGTGTGTGTATATATACATATATGTGCAAACCTTTTTCTATATTTTCTCTCCTCCCATTCTCCTACTAGTGAACATAAAATGTGTTAATAATATTTCTGCTTATATCTCAAGAAGTGAAAAGGGGAGCGTGACAGCTGGAAAATGCACGTTCCCCAAAGACAGATAAAGTGACCTATTCTTAGCCTCTTCTGGGAGAGGGGGAGGATGTTTAGGGTTGCATGGGGCTTAGTTGCACTTTGTTAGGGAAGCAAGATTTTGCTGCCAGAAGTTAAACAGTTAAAAGAGATGAGAATGAAGCAATTTAGCAAAGGACAGTCTGTGCTGGTTTTGTATTGCGTCACCTGGCCTAGGCTGGAAGTGCATTTCCTTTACGGCATGTGTTAGAGTTAGCCAAAAGAGATTTCTGGGCAAGATTTGGGAGGGGAAGTGAAAGAGCAGCCATCATCCTCTGTGGTCCGTAGTTAGGTGCGGTGGAAAACAGATGCAGAAGTGCTGGTGGCCTTGACCTGGTGGGAGATGAATGTGGATCTACTGGTGGCCTCTGCGCTTGCTTTTGCCCCCCACCTCTGTTTACCTCCAGCTCATTTCTCTCTCTGTGGGCCGGCTGAACAACAGCAGCCCCAAGCCCACCTTCCACACGGAGGCCTCAGCCCCTATGTGCTTCTTCACCAGCCTCCGCTGTCTTTTCGTTCTTGCTGCTGTACATGCCCACTCCAGAGATTTCCCTGCAAATTCCGACTGCCCTCACGTGACTCTTTCAGGAGGACTGAGCAGCGACTTTTCTCTGATCCTCTACCTTCCCAATCTGGACCTTACCTCCCATCTCCTCTCATCATTGTGCAGGGTCTAACTCTTATTAATATACCATTAGACTACAAGCTCTATGAAATCAGGCATCACAGTATCTGATAAAATGTCACCGTAACCTCCTTTAGTTGCTGTTCTTATAGCAGCTGCAGCAAAAGGCCCAGGCAGGACGAAGCAGGACGAAGCAGGACGAAGCAGAGAAAGCTAGATATGCCCGGCAAACCAAACACATGAGCTGCCCCCTCCGGTAGCCTCCAGTTTCACAGACCAGAGCCTCCCTCAGCACACCTGGACACCTCCCTTCTGAATAAAGAGCTGTCCTACCGCCCTGCTTGCTTTAGAGTCCCCACCAGATGATAATGTCTGAATAAGTGCTGGGTTGGACTTTGGGCCCAACTGGGGGCAATGGCCCCTCCTCCAGGTCCAGGCAGTGGTGACTGGGGAGATGACCTGGAGAAGGTCATGGAGATACTGGCTCTGCGTCCCAGTTGACCATGTGTATAGGCTCTCTGGAGTGAGTCGCCCATCTTACCACCTACCTGAAGTCCCCTGCCCAACAGTCTGTCTCATGGCTCCAGTTCCACTGTCCCCACACAGCTGCTGGTGCCCAGTCTGTGTCCACACAGCCTCTGTGCTTGCGTGGATGTTCTTGTAGGGGAGTCTATGCTGGGCAATGGCACTTCCTAGCTGGGGTGTGGCCCAGACTTGGATTCCGAGAGCAGGTGTGGGTCGGGGAGATTGGGGACGTGTTGGGGAGCCAAAGTCCCAGAGGCCCCAGACCATGGGTGGTTCAGCTATCTTTGCTGTTCTGGGTGGATGTCTGGCGAAGGTTAGTGCTCTCCCAAAGTTGCAGTTCCTGCTCTGATCTGTGTGGGCACAGAGGTTGTGTTCAGGAGGGGACCAGGCAACCTTCTTTTCCCACAGGCTTGATAGGGGCTGGCAGGAGCATTGCCTGTGCCACTGGCTTTCCACCCTGTCTCCCAACCCTCCTTGGGATCTGTGTTGCTCCTCTGAGCAAGGCAGAGTAGCAGCAGAGGGGGGGAGAAGAAGGCTGGAGCAACTCTGCTACCTGGGGTTGGCACAGTCCATGTGCTGTCACTTGGGATAGGGAAGGTGCCACTGTCGGTAAGATCAGCTGAAGTGGGGGGTTGGAGTGATGGAGTAGCCTCTGCCTCCAGTCTCTTAAGAAATCAGGAGCAGGTAGGGGACCACTGCTTTATTTTTTTGTACTTCTGGCTCATCAGCGAGCCCGGATCTCTTTCTGTGTCTAACCCACCAATCCCTCGAACTTAGCTTACCCCGGGTCCTTGTAGCCAGGAAGTCCTCCACATACTGCTTGAGCTCTGCATGTTCCTGACCCGCGTCCATCCATGGAGCCTTCCCAATGTCCTCTAAATCCCTCTCTTGCCAGGAAATTTCTTGAGTAAGTTTCACTCTCCATGGACATGAACTCACACTACTCAGCACTTACTCACACAGCTCCTTGAAGTTCTGTCCATCAAAAGGATCCATTTACCAGTTTACAAGTCACAGGACTCTGCAGACTCCACATGGCCACCAGGTCATACTTCCAGGGCAGCATAAGAGGTTTGCCATAGAAGGTATCCAGCCAAAATCTGATGTTCATGTCAGCATCCAAGAGCACTTTTTCTGCCATTATGTCTCATGGACAATACACTCTGGGTGACAGCTTATACAGCAGACACTATTGGTAGAATTTCTTTGGGCTTATTTTTCTTTCCTACTGCTGTGAGCCATTAGGTGCTCAAATGCTTCTGCTCTGGTAGCATACTTCATAATGAAGCAGAAAGCTTCCTCAGTACCGATCACAGCAAATATTTAATACCTCACTATGGTGGGATGGTCCAACCCTTCATGATTCTTACCTTGCAGGATGGTGTCAGGAGGCCAGGGGAGTTTAGTTGAGCCCCATCAAGTGCTGCTGCTTTCCAAGTCAGGATGTGCTGGACCAACTTCACCTTGGCCACGTTACCCTTGACGGTGGTCTTGAGGATCCTAGTTGCCATTGGGGTCTCTTGTTGGCAGAGTTGCTATGAGGCCCTGTAGCCTGTTGGACTCACTGCTGGGTTTGGAGTCCAGGTGTCCCAAGGTCAGCTTCAATTCAGGACAAGCTGGTGAGAACTTTGGTCCAAATCACCTAAAAAAAAATCCCTTCCCAAGTTCACCTGATGAACTGATCTTTATAACAGAAACAAAACAAAATACCAGACAAAAACAAACATTGCAAAAGCAGATTAAAAACAAACTAAATTTTAAAAACATGCAATTGAGTAAAAAAAAGAAGAAAAATGCAAAATGTGAAGAACAAAGAAAGGAAAAAGGATGAGAATAAAAAGAGAAATGAGCAAAAAAGTAAAAAGAGAAATAAAAATTAAAAAGAAAAATAAGGAAAAAAATCTGCTATGTATAATATACAAAATAAGGTATATTATTATTATTATATTATTTGAGACAGGTTCTCACTATGTTGCTCAAGCTTGTTTTGAACTCCTGGGTTCAAGCAACCTTCCCACCTTAGCCTCCTGAGTAGCTGGGACTACAGGTGTGTGCCATTGTACCAGCAAGGTACTTCACTGAGATTTATAAACTTGGGGGGAAACTAGCATTCATCATACTTTCCTTTCTTATTTACAGTTTTCCCCAGTTTCTTTGGAGTAAATTCCGTCCTTCCTTCACTACCATCTTAGCGCTTTACACTAGCTCTACTTCTGCCCAGGACATCCTTTCCCCAGAGATCTGCATCCTCACTCCTATAAGCCTTTGCTGCAATGTCACTTTCTTAGTGATGCCTTCCTTGATCTATTCGGTCTCACAATACCCCTTGCATATCCTACCCTCAATCCATGGCCTTCTTTAAACAAACAAACAAACAAAACAACAAAACTTCATATAAGGGAAACTTTCAAATCTATGCAAAATTAGAATAGTATAAAGACACTTCCACACATATCTACCAAGCAACATCAAGAATTATCAACATTTTTTCATTTTTAGTTATTCATAAAACTGCAGTCTGCATCTTTAAATAGGTTGTTTTGGGTTTTGGGTTTTTTTTTGGAAGTACAGCCACTGTGCCATCATCAAATCTAAAAACATCAAAGGTACCATGTAATACAATATTCTTATTTCCCAGTTGGTTCATAGACGCCTTGTTACAGGTGATAATGTTTGAATGAAAATCCAAACAAGGTATACATATCACTTTATATATTTTTCAAAAGCATTATCACTATTTAAAATACCATCACCAGTAAAAGTAATAAACTTTTAATTTATCTACTTACTATCTATCCTTCCTATTAGAATATAACTTCATATAAGTAAGGATTTTTATTTGTTTTGTTCTTGGCTGTATCTTCAGGACCTAGAATAGTTCCTGCACACAGTAGGCACTCAGTAAGCATTTGTAGAATGAATGAATGAAGTTGGCAACCAGGACGTAACAGCCAAGAGGCATGCTGTTAACACGGCCAAATCTGTTTGTTTCGAGCTCTGAAACTTTGGACAACTGTCCTGAATCTCAATTTTCCCAGCTGTAAAATGGGACTAATGATACCAACTTTGTAGGACTGTTGTGAGAATTAGACCAAATATGTGTACACCACTCAGTGTGTAGTTCACTCTCAATGCAGCTACTACTTTTATTTTTCATTAAATTAATGATCTCAAGATGAAGTCTTCCTAGATTTAGGATGGCCTTAAATCTAATAGCTATGTCCTTGCAACAGAAAAGGAGAAGACACAGGGAAGAAGATTGTGTGAAGGTGGAGACAGAGATTGGAGTAGCGCAGCTGCAAGCCTAGGAACATCAGGAGGAGCTAGAAGAGCTGAGAACGGATTCTTCCTTGGAGCCTTCAGAAACAGTGTCTCTGGTTTGGGCACCAGGCACATCTTGCTTTCTGACTGCAAACCTCCGGCACTGGGAGAAAAAAACACTTCTGTTGTTTTATACTACCAAATCTATGATACTTATCACAGCAGCTACATTCCTCCACTCTGAAAGAGTAGAGACCACAAGTTCAGCCCAGGTCAGTTTTCAATCTTCATTTATCTACTTCTCTCTAGCTACTCTCAATATACTTCTTACTCTCAGCCCCCCAAAGATCTGAAGATGTCTTACTGGTGCATCCAGAGGGTTGTGGCAATGGGCTCAAGCTCCTCAGAATGACTGTCCCTCTCTGATTTGACCCTATACCTCCTACTGTTCCTCAGGAGGCTGGAACTGGTGGGGAACCTGTGGATGTCAACCATGTTAAGAATTACTAGAGGGGCTGGATGCCCATAGCTTAGTGGTTTGGGTGCCTGCCACATGCTCTGGGGCTGGTGGGTTTGAACCCAGCCTGGGTCTGCTAAACAAACAAACAAACAAATAGCTGGGCATTGTGGCAGGCACCTGTATCCCAGCTACTAGGGAGGTTGAGACAAGAGAATCACTTGAGCCCATGAGTTTGAGGTTGCTGTGAGCTATGATATCACAGCACTCTATCAAGGGTAAAAAAGTGAGACTCTGCCTCAATAATAAAAAAAAAAAGTTGCTAGAGGTAGAAGTATTTTAAGTAGAACACGTCTGTGCATGCACCTGTACTTACATGTTTGTTGTGCATGTGTATGTGGGCATTTGTGTGTGTGTCTAAGGAAGAGAAGTTCAAAACTTAAGCTACGATAAATTAAGTTCCCCTAACTTCACCATGACATATGAGTGTCCAGGGACCAGTTTTTACTAGTGGTACCACTGTACGGAGTAGTATCTTTCTGCAGGCCATTTGGGGGAATGAGTGAGAGTCTCTTGGGAAAGAATTTAAAGTGGAAGAATGTGAATTTAGTTTAAGAAAATGGCTCAGTGTGAAAATTAAGGGGACACTTGGTGAGCGTTTATACACACAAAATATTCACATGGTATGAGATCTGCCTTGAGACTTAAGATTAAAACATAACAAAGCCTTTGTCCCAGTTTGCTGGGGAGCAGAGTGGCTGGGCCAAGGTCCATGGAGCAGGGCAAGGGCTGCTTACAGGAGAGGGTGGATCAGGGAGGAGGACCCCTGGGTCCTCAAGGTACCTTCCAGGGATATTTGGGGTGGGGGCTAGGGCAGGGGTCAATTCTACTATTGTGAGTGCAAAGCGGAGCAGGGAAACAGGCCTTTTTTTCTCTTTTCTGTTTCTTTTGTGATGACCTTGATTTTGTCTCCAGTCTGGAGTGACCTGGAAAATGCTGGTTACATTAAAAGTATAAAACTTGTCATGTTTACTGAATGTCTGTCATTGCTAGAACTCACTGAAAAACAATAAGCTCAGCCACCCAGAGGCTCATACCTGTAATTCTAGCACTCTTGGAAGCCAAGATAGGAGGATCCCTTGAGCACAGGAGTTTGAGACCAGCCTGTGCAAGACTGAGACCTGTTTCTACTAAAAATAGAAAAATTAGCTGGACATTCTGGCAGGCCCTGTGGTCCCAGCTACTTGGAAGGGTGAGGCAGGAGGATTACTTCAGCCCAAGAGTTTGAGGTTTCTGTGAGTTAGGCTGCTGCCATGGCACTATAGAGTGAGACTTTATCTCAAAAAAAAAAAAAAAAGGAAAATAAAGAAAAACAATAAGTTCACTTTAAAAAGCCAATGAAAAGAATCCATGAGACTTGTGGCAATTTAGTGAAATTGATTAATAAAACAATCTACTTTGCATAGGCACGGATAATAAACTGAAATCACAGAATAAATCTCCAGGGTTAGAACCCATTAAGGACTTCAGAGTCTTTCTTCTATTCCCATCATAAACTTGCAATCACACAGCCAAAAGCTGCCCACTAGTGACGAGATAGCTTTGGTCCTGCGGTCCTGCTCCTTGTCTGTTCCCCAGAGGCGCTTCGGAATGAGTGTGTGATGTTGCTGGGCTGGAGCCAGACTCCACTCGGCCTCCTTCCTGGTTCTTTGAGTCAAGGCAGCACCCCAGACAGCCTCCAGAAAACGCGAATCTCCCCACTCAGTCTCATCCATCTCAGACCTGGTCATCAGGACGTTTCCAGCACCTGGGGCATTTTGGCACCTCCTCTCTGGCCTCCACTGACCCTGCAGCTGCTCCCTTCCTGGAGAAGCTGCGAATCCCAGAGAGACTCTTTTCCGAGTTGCCTTTAATTGTGGGGAAACATCCTGCCTCTTCCCTCCCTTCCTGTGGGTACTGAGCTCCTCGGTTCTGGACAGGGTGGGGGATCTGCAGGCTCCAGCCCAAACACCCTCAGGAGCATGGAGAGGTGGAAAGACAGAGAAGGGAGCAAGCCCTGGAGGGACAGTGTCCTGTGATGGAGAAGAGCCTGGCTCTGGAGTGAAAGACAATTCAATTCACATCTCAGTGCCCAGGGGGCCTTTGGTGAAGGTTTCTTAACTTCTTCAGCCTCAGATTTCTCATCTATAAAATGGCAGTCATGAAAATGCTTGTCTCAGAGGCAGGGTCACTGCTAAAGTATGCAGGCCTCATGCAAATATTTTTGTGGGCCTCCATGGAAAAATGTTTTTAATTGATGTCTGTCCCTTAGCATCCTAGACCCACTGACTAAGCTAATAAATATTCTTGTTTATTGCTGCTGAAATCTGGCATGCTGTGAAGTATTTCCCCTAATTCTCAGACCATGAATAGAGACTAGGGGTAAGGATGGCCACCAGGACTTTCAGCAGGAATTGGGAATGATAGGAGGGAGGTAACCGCTGTTAAAATAGACTTTCTTTTTCTTTTCTTTCTTTCTTTATTATTATTATTATTATCTGAGATAGAGTCTCACTCTTGCCCCTAGTTCATAACAACCTCAAACTCCTGGGTTCAAGTGATCCTCCTGCCTCAGTCTCCCAAGTAGCTGGGACTACAGGCACCTGCCACAATACCTGGCTAATTTTTCTATTTTTAGTAGAGATGGGAACTTGCTCTTGTTCAGGCTGCTCTCAAACTCCTGAGCTCAAGCAATCCACCCCCATCGGCCTCCCAGAGTGCTACGATTATAGATGTGAGCTGCTGCGTCTAGACCAAGATAGA